GGGGGGGGGGTGTCTGAGGGCCACATTCCTTGGTCAACAGCTTTTTTTTTCAACAGACCAACAAATTACATCCGACACATGATCTTAGCTCTTATTTACGGATCCCTTACAACTGATTCATTCATTCACTGGGCCTCTTGAACCCTAAGCTTCCTGTTCCTTCTTCCTGGATTGGGCTTTCCCACGGAGCCCACTTAGCCAGCATGGAGACAAACAGAGTTGCCTTTTGGGACAGGCAGACGGGGCGGTGGGCCCCCGGGGAAGGCTTCCTGGAGAAGTGGGCTGGTCGCTGCAGTCGATGGAGACCCCGAGGGGAGGTTCCCGCAGGCAACCCTGGGCTCTGTGTCCACAGGCAGCTCTCTGAGGACCTGCTTCTCGCCCGAGAGGCCCTGCAGAAGGAGTCGCAGTTGCGCCGGCAGCTCCAGCAGGAGAAGGAGCAGCTGCTGTACCGGGTCCTCGGGGCTGACGCCTCCCCCGCCTTCCCGCTGGCCTCTCTCACCCCCACTGAGGTCTCCTACCTCGCCACATAGCGCCTGGACCGCCGGGATGCTGTGGTCACAGCTTTCTCTCGAGGACTTGGCAGAGAAAACAGCAGGGGCCTCTTGTCCCTAGGAGGGGACAAGGGTGGGAGTGAGATGGGGAGCCAGGATGTGCGGCCAGTCAGCCCTGGGGGCTTGGGCCACGTAGACTCACCCTCAGGGCTTCGGAGGCCCCTCAAGTTGGCGCAGGGGACAAGCAAGAAGAGCCCTTTCCTCCCTCCCCTTCTGTCTGTTCAGATCGGGGGGTTCTGAGGCTTTCCCTAGGGGCAGCCATGCCATATTGGTCATCTGACCAAGAGGAGACACCCCACTGGTCCTCACTTCCCACAGCCACCCCCGCAAGCCCCACTCCCTCCCCGGCCTTTTCTCAGCCTCTGAACCAGTTGGGGGAACTGAACAGACGGCCCTAGTGTCCCATTCTAGCCTTGTCTGAAGTTTAGACTAGGGGCTGGGGGGCAGGGGCCACATGCTGTGAATCAAACTGGGGAGGGTGAGTGGCTGGGAGGGGGGCACTGGAGGCCCCGCCGACTGGGCAGTGAATCGGGCATGGCTCCGGTCCCAGGCCCAGAATCTGGTCAGTCTAGGGGTTACCAGCAGAGCTGCTCCTCCTGGACCGGGCAAGGCTCACTGCCCGGCACTCCCGGTCCCTCAGCCTCAGTGCCATCAGGACACGGGGGCCACCTAGTGGATCTAAGTACCCTCGCCAGCCAGAGCTGGAACCTCATCCCTGTACTGATGAGGAAACCAAGGCGGGGAGTGGGACCCGCAGAGCCAGGACTAGGGCCTCACCTGTCACCCAGGTTTCACCTTATCGTACTTTTTCTTCCTCCCCAGGCTCTGGGAGGTCATGTCTGAGACTTGGTCTTTCTCCTCCTTGCTCTGACCGGCCCCCACCCTTACCAGTGCGCTCTTTCATTCCT